CTATGTGTTGGCAGGCTCCCTCCTCGTTTCTCTTTTCGTGGCAACGGCCAAGCCAGTGAGCAACGGGCAACGTCATCCCTTTCTCACAGTATATGCTGTGCGCCTTGTGGCGCGGATGTTCTTTCGTCTTTGTATGACTCTTTGTATCACTGTCAGATGGCCAAATTCGAGAAGTGAAGCGTCCTGGAACCTCAACGTGCCGGGTAGGACAAGAGTTCTCTTGCTTTCAATGCACGAAAGGTCGAGAGTGTAAAGGTTTCTAGAACAACGTGACGATCGCCATGCGAGTTGTCTTGGTGGACATGCTTCTTTGATATGTTACCCGAACATTATTTTGTGCCACAGACAATCTGGGTCACAGTTTCCGTTGCTGCTGTACAAGAGCCTCTTCGTTTGGTAGCTTGCAATATCAGTGTTGCATCAACTGCAGACGGATGCCGAGACAGCTCGACACTGGGCAGCTTGTTCCTTGGTCGTGGCCTGACGACCCATGTACGACGTAAACGGTACCATACATAATACTTGCAGGAAGAATAAATAAGCTTACCTGCCGTTGATGACACATCGCTACCTCCGTGGTGATATAGAATCAAAGACGGACCGATCGTAGCCAACGGCCGTATATGGAAGACATTGCCACTGCTTTGCAGCTGTACGCCATAAAAATGCACGAGCTTGGTGAGAACCCAGAAACACGAACACAAAACGAGCGTGGCCCGAGTCTCGGGTTGCTCGGGAGAGGAGACTGAAGGAGCACAGCGATTTTAGACACCGTTGATGGAGACCGGAGGCTGTCTTCTGGTCTCATAACTCTGGGTGAACAACTCGAGCAACGAAAGGTCAGACAAGGTGCAAGCTTTCCATGGCAAGAATGACGATAGACGGCGTCATCAAAAAGTAATCGTATTTCCAATAAAGGCCTTGCTTGGTCTGATCGAGCTGTTCTCTGTGCATTCGCCCGAGTCGATGACCACAGCACTGCGGAAGTGCGGAAATGAGCTCCTCTTTAGAGTGTGATGAAGAATCCCAGATGTGCAGATGAACGGACATTGGCTGACTCCAAGTTGCCATTTCGTGGCGTGGTTGTTTTAAATTCAACATTCAAAGGATAGGACGTCACGTCTTTGATCATCACAACTGTGGACCTACTCGTCATGATTCCTTGCCCATTGCTTTGCTCATTGCTTTGCTCATTGTACTTTTGGAATGAGCAATAGGCCGCATTTCAATGCTGCGGGCAGTCAATAACTACCTTCAGAGTGAGAACCGGGCGAATGAAAGTAGATTGGTCGCGTGATGCCAAATACGGCTTTCTGTTTACATTGGTCCCCCCTGATGGTTTGTTGACATTCACAAAGTCGGTCGACCTATGAGCATCAAGGCCAGAATTTTGCAATGCCACACAATAGGCTGAGCTCTCATTGCTTCTCGATAACCAACTTTATTTTTCCTGTCAAAAGAAATCGGACTGAGAAATGCGCGTGTTTCTGTCTGCCAACGTGTTTTGCATCTCCCTACACATTAGCTTTTTCTTTCTATCATGGTCCATCATCTTCCATTGCAAAGAGATGGGAAGGCTTTTATTAGACGTTTCATTACATAGACCAAGAAATTGGTTGTAAATTTTTATATTCGTATTTTTAAGATTCAAACAGGATTTCTTTCCTGCACGCTTCTTTCTAGACGTTTTGATCAACATTTCTGTCGTTCGCAAAAAAAAATATACGGCACTCATCACATCGTTTGAATCAAATGCTCTGATATTTCTTATCATCCATAAATACCACTTATTCGTTATTTAAACACGTATAAAACACATCCAGGTGTCTCACTACACAACAATGCATGGAAACGTTCAAAACAAAACAGGAAAAAACTAATATGATCCACGGATGAGAATTAGTTCCTTGGGTCTTTCACTGAGACGGCACATCGGAGACGGCTACTCAGACAATGCAAAAAACACATGCAGTGTCTTGTCATAATCAAGGTGTTGCACTGATGATGATTTTTTGTATCTAATTTTATTGTTGTATTTATTTGTTCTTATTGTTTTTCTTTTTTTCTTTTTTTCTTTTTTTTCTTTTTTTGCTTGATTGAAGCAGCAATCTACACAACAGGTATGTCATAAATTGATTGACATCCGTCACCCATCTTATTCTCATTCATGATTCACGATATGGCATGTCGTTCCCTTTCAGCCTCAGTAAATGTTCACCTATGCACTTTGGACAATTGCACTTGTTTTTAGAGGTAGCATGACGTGCAGCTGGGAATCGTCGACTGAAATCGGACAAATACCTAGGTCTATTGATAGAACAGATCCGAGGCAGCTGCATCCCGTAATCGCCAGTTGTCGAAGCAGTTTATCGTAGCCGAGTTATTTTTGGCAGTCCGTGATGAAAACAAGAATTGTTTCTTTCCCTTTTCCCTCTGTTCTTTTAAGTTTCCCCTATTCGTACATGTCCTTTACAGTACTGTTCAACACCAAGACCATGTCGTGACGCCAAAGTGCGGGATCTAAAAAAAGACACGGGAGGCAATTTGGCATTGAGCGTTCGATGCACACAATACAGAGTCTGCCACACACTGCAATAAAACGAATGCCATCCCATTACTCCGCGTGCTGTACACCCCGGACACCTCGTACCGAGTCGTTGGTTGTCGGTCAGACCTGTTGGTCGAATCGGCAAGGGCACACTGTTTCATATTCTTCCATTTCCCCTGTTCTTACGGCATCCCTTGCCCCTTATTTCTGTACTCTTTTATGGTACGTGAGCCTGTTGCCTTGAAACGAAACAGATCTGGGGTAGCATCGCCAGCGTGACTGTGATTGTGCGTGCAAAGGACGGCGAAGGCGACGTGAAGTTATTTCGTCTTACGTTCCTTCGGTGCTATTTTGGACGTTTGGTGTTATTTAGCTCGCTTGGTCGTCTGCTCGGTGCATCGAGAATATGCTTCTTTTCGGGAGATGGGGCAGAGCGGAAATGAGGGCGGAATGGGTCTGTAGATGCTTAGGCTTGTGGTCCATTCTCGATAATCTCAGCTGTAGGGTTCCTGGAAGAGAAGAAAGTAAAGGGAACGTCGCCGGATTAGTTCCGTTCCTTTTTTTTTTTTTTATTTTTTTTTTGAATACACATGTGTATACATATGCGTCGCGTTTTCGAACGTGACGTACTCTGTACAATGCTGCAAATCAGCGAACAATAGGTGCAAGATTTGATGCTGCAAAGTATCCTCTCTGCAGAGCAATACGACGTACAGACAACAGTGGCGAGTCGTATTTCCGTTTCTGTACAAGTGCCAAAGGCAGCTGCATATTGTACCTAGTACCGGCACAGTAGGGCAAAACGACGATCCTCGTCTGTACTAGACTTATCTGCCTCCTGCAGGAGACGCAGCGTTTTCGAGCACATGAGGAGGCGGAATGGGATGTGACGTGGACTGGGAGAGGCAGAGAGGAGAGGAGTGGACGGAGGACAATATCTCTTCCTCATCAAAAGGAGAGAGCGTACGGGGGATATTTGCTGCATCTGCACGCAGAGCACGCTCATTGTCGTTTTTTTGTAATTCGTACCCGTTTCTCATTCATCCATTGTCCATTGCTGCCTCATCGAGGGGGTGTCCGGCGCTTAACTTTTGTTTTGTGTCGTCGTCTTCTGGGTCGTGTGGGTCCCTTTTCTTCTGCACCTATTTGCTCTTGCTGCACCTCATCACACTCGGCGCCCCAAGCCAATCAGCGCCCGGCACTTAGACCAGCGCGACCACACTTTCGAACTTTCGACCGAGGAGGGCACACTCTCTGCAGTGTTGTGCAGAACACCCCCCCGACACCTGCTGTCCAATCAGGTCACCCAGCCGCCCTCCCACCTCTCCGTTGTCCTCAATTCCCACCCCCAGCCGGCGCTTAACTTTTTTGCGTGCTTCATGATGAGCCTCCCTCTCGTCCTCGTCAAACTACACGGCGTACTCTGCTGCTGTATTTGTTTTCAATGAACTTGTCAGCGCCTTCGCCGTCCCCTGCAGCAAGACATAGGAGATTCCCCTTTTCCTCTTCGTAATCACCGAAGAAGGGCCTCTTTTGCATAGGGGAAGCTACCAAAGAACACTGCGAAACAAAACACGACAAAATAAGGACGGCAGGGGCAACAGCCACATGGGGGCGTCTCAGACAGCAAAATATTACACTGTCTACGACGTATGCAACGGCCGTTTTCCTCTATCCGCCCGACGATGTACGATGTAATTACACCCCCCCTCTCTCTTGGATTGTGTCCATTGGTTTTCGGTAGTGGTGCCCGGTGGAAATCTCTGGGTGACGAGAAAGGGGGCGGGTGATGGTGATTGCATGCGCAAAGTAAAAAGTATGTACATCCGTACAGCAGAGGGGTTCGAAAGACGGATGCAAACGGCCTGAGTGTGATATCAGCTGCAGTTTATTTTATTTATTACTTTTCCGTGAACCCGACGTGGTCTGTTCTCAGTGCCAGCACAGAGGGCCAAAAAAAGGAAATATTTGTCACCAGGTGTGACACAGTCTTTCATTTCGTCACGCCGAGATCATCGGAAGACACTGGTGAGGTTATTGTTTGCATTACTGACTAAACAGACATCAAATCCTGCCTCCAAAATACTTCGTATCCTCATTTGCTTGTGGTATCGTAGATAAACATAAGAAAAAAAAACAAAGGTGACAAAGGAAATTGTGAGAGATTGTGTTGAGTGTTGTGAGAAAGTCGGGTGACAGTCAAAAGCGTGGGTGGCTTTGTAGCGCAAACCACAGCGGGACGAAAAGCTGCCCTGCAGATTTTCAGAGATGTGCGTGTGTGCCTGAAAAATGAAAACAGAAATTGGAGAGAAACAAAAAGCAAAACGCCTACCCATCGTCCAGTTTTGGATATCCCATTATTCCGTAAAAAAATGCCAACCACGCCATATATGCATCGCCCATTACAATCCTGCTTTTTTGAAGGCCCTTGGCATCGGAACCAGATCTGCCATCACGCCGAATCGTCGCAATCAATCTTCCGCTTCTTGCCCTTGGGCGGTGCGTTCATGCGTGGCGGATCCACACGCGGCGTATATGTCACCGTGCGCGTGACGACTTCGCGGATATGGCGGATGCTGGTTTTGGCGGCGTTGCTGGCCGAGGCGGCCATGGACGTCGTGGTGGACGTGGACGTGCTGGATGGGACGGCCTTGTTTGAGCACTTGGCGCAGCCAGGCGCCGATGCGGAAGCCGACGCAGTAGCAGTAGCAGCTGCAGCAGGTGCTGGGACAGGCGCCTTGGCCTGTGCAAGGGCATGCGCGTGCGACTTGGCCGGTGGCGCCTTGAACTCGGCATAGCGCGCCTTGAGCGCCGACTCCCAGTCAAACGGTGACGTGATGCTCGTGGACTTGGCGCTGAACGGCGACCGGATGGGCGAGTTGGTGTTGGAGATGGCCGGTGAGATGGGGATCTTGAGACTCGGGAAGGTCGTGCGGCCGATGGGCGGGGCCGATGTGGGGATGCTGCTCGGGGAAAAGGCGCTGGCGGGAATGGCCGTGTCGATGCGTGCTATCTTGGGTGACTTGTGTGCTCTTTCGTGGCTGTGCTCACATGTACAGCAGTCTGTGGCGTTGCTGGACGCCGTGGACGGTCCGCTGTCGAGGGTGTCCTTGTCCTCGGCGTCGTTGCCCAAAGATTCGGTGTCTGAGTTGGATGCAGACGACGTAGACGCTAGTGATGTCGACGATGCCGTGGCGGCGGCAGCGGCGGCAGCAGCAGCAGCGGACTTCACCCCGGCAGTGGGTTTTGTTGAGCCGAGATTGCTCGCCGTGATCTTGACCGGTCCGGATATCGAGGCACGGTGAAGCATGCGCGGCCGGGTGTGATTTGAGCGACTGCCCGTATGTGTGCTAGTGTCCGCGGTGGCGGCAGCTGATGTGGTGGTGACCGGGCTGCTAGTGCAGGGGCTGGTGGCACTGGGGCTGGCCAGCTTCAAGAAATCCATGTAGGCGACGGGCGGTGACAAGGGCGTCTTCATCAAGCCTTCTTCGGTCTTGATAGCGACAATGGGCGAGTAGAGGCCCGCCGACAAAAGACCCGCCGAATGGAGGCCAGCCGACGGAAGCCCCGCAGATGGGAGACCGGCAGAGGGGAGCCCAGCAGAGGGGAGCCCAGCAGAATGAAGTCCAGCAGAGGGCAGACCAGCCGACGGCAAAGCTGCCGACTCCCGCCAGGACGTCGAGATAGCCGAGTGCGGCGTGCGCACCGAGGCAGCCGACATGAGCGCCTCGGCGGGAAACGATGCCGTGACGGGTGTGGACAGCACCAGCGTAGGCTTGCGGGACGGCATGATGGCGGTTTCGGTTGACGAGGGGAGAGAACAGTCAAAGACCAAAGACCAAGCCAAGCAAATGACTCGTTCCGGAGGAGAGGCAGATGGAAAAACGCAACAGGCGTAGACGAAACAGTGGGACAACGTCAAGGGCAAGGCTGATGAGGAAGTAGAAGAAGAAGAGAAGACAAAAAAAGAGGAGAAGGAAGGAAGAGGGAAGAAACGGTTCCAGATGTTGGAGATGGGAAAACCAGGTGTACATATAGTAATGCACCTATCTACAAGTACACGAAGAACACTTTGGGGTGGTGAAGAAGGCAGGAAGGGGGGGATGGCCCAGGAAAAGAAACCGAAACGCTCGCGTTCGGGGCCAGCAGGAGGGCCACAAGGAGCATGGGAGCATGGGGTGGGCGGCAAGGAAAATGGGCGCCTGGCGAAGGGGGGCCGGGATATGTGAGTAAGGAGGGTGTGTGTCGTTTGGTAGATGTATGTCGTATGTGTGCTAAGTGTGCTATGTGTGCTCAATGTGTTCAGAGTGTTGACTGTGCATCAGGAGTGCAGGTCGCAGTAGATAAAGTTGTGGGCAGGCAAAGTACTCCGTAGTGCGGCGTAAGTGGTCGATACTCAAAAAGGTCAGCGCCAGCGTCGATGCGTGGGAGCCGCCCGTGTCTTTTGGTCTGAAGTCTGTGTCTATTCTTCGATGGGGAATGCACGTTGTATGGAGTACTTACACCCATCCCCATCACGTTTCCTACTTTCCCCACCTCCCTCCCGCAGGCGCCAACAGGGATCGCGACGGAAGAGAAAAAGCCAGAAATCCCAAAGAAACGGGTCAGAGGAGCTGGCGAAAGACCAAAACGAATGCGCGTGCGCCAGACCGCTCTAATGGACCATGCGCGTTGGTGTCGAGCGCTGCCGTTGTTGTGTGTTGCGTTTGGTTGGCCAGGTCTTTTGTGCTGCTTGCCGCCGGGTGTTGGAGTCTGACGCTGGCCTTGGCTTGCCAGGCCATCCCCCCAGGCCCTCTTTTGTGATCCGTTGGACTGGACTGTGCCAGGGGGAGCTAGCAGGGGGTTTGAGTTTCTGAGCAGGCTGCGACCCGCTCGTTGGCGCGCAAAAGAGGTCCCAGCGACGAAGTCTGAATGAGAAGAGCACATTGAGAGGCAAGGCGGGAGAAAATGAAGAGGTGGCGTACTCCGTAGAATGGGGATTATCGAGAGGGAGCGCGCGAGAAGAGGGATTAGCTTGAACTGCTCTGAAAAAGGTTAAAATTGCTTTGGGGATGGGAGACGTTGAGACAACTACGGACGCGACGTCAGCGTATTGTTCGTGTAAGTGAAGGGTGGTATGAGGCGGTCCGATGACCAGCGGGCGACTGCTGGAGGGGTTCGACGATTCCGGAGAGAGTACTCACTACTCCGTGCAGCTCTGTTCGGTAAGGCTCTTCTCAGTTCGGGCCTGAGCGCTCAACCGTCTTTTCAGATTGCGCCTGAGAAGGACAAGAAGCAAGCTAATCCGAGGGCAAGAGTGCCGATGAAAGCAACGCAAAGCGACAGGCGGCACGATGCCACTAGTCTTGTCCCATTCTTCAGTTTGCAGCTTGTCCCCGGTACTTCAAGCTCCAAGGCGACCCAGAGTGACTTCGTGTGTGCTGAAAAGTGAACACAACCTCTTTCAATACCAGCCCCGGCGGCAAGCAACGAATGAGGACGATTGGCTGAGCCTGCTAGCGCTGTAATACCCCCGACCAGAAGGATCTCTCTTAGCGTCGAATCTGCAGGCAAGGGCCATGAGCCAATGAGGATGTCGGCGGGTCTCGCTGCAGGGAACGTAGGATTTGTGCACAAAAAAGTTGAAATGTGATTGCGGGCGTCTCTTTGGAGGCTTGTACGGGGGCTCAGCGTCTGGTTAAAAGTGACTGAAAAGAAACGTCTCGCTGAGACTCACTCGCGCTGCACGTCGTTCGTCGTCATACGTCGTGGGGAGACTTTGTGCCCAGGCCTCGCCTGGCCAGGGCAGTAACCGCTTTAGTTGCCTAAATCGGAAAGGCGCTAGGGGGCGGAGAGAGACGTGGGCGGCCCGAACAGCGCTAAAACTTTAGCTGGTGACCGCCTGTATGGGACCGTTCAACTAACACTTCGTCGACACCATCGACACCATCGAACGTCCAACCCCACCAAAGGTCCTGAGGCAACAACTGTCAAGTTTGCTTCTTGTCAACAAAAGATCATGCATGGTCTCCACATCTCCCTGATGCATTGATCGTTGCAGCGCTCTATGTTCGAACGCGTTGAACAAGGCCAAAGAAAACCCTATGTTGTTTGGATGCGTAGAAACAACGTCGAAGGAACAGACCGACCCGCGCGCGAGGTCATGCATGTGTTTTTCTTTTTTAAAGAGCCATTGGCCGGCGTCTTGTCTTGTTGTGCATCCTCGCAGTGGTCGCGGCGGCCAGATATGGAGGCCCAACCTCCCCTCCACCCCTCCAGTTGTGACAGGCCCATTCACTTTTCGTTATATCATTCGGCGCGTGCTTTAGATGACTTGGCCGCATATCTGGCGGCCTAGTTCGAGCAAGCATTTGATCACCCGCCGATGCCAGCCACCCGTATTTCTGGTCATTTCCATCCTTGTCATCTCTTTCATCTTGTCGAGACAGCTCGGCCAGGTAGGGCCACGCCTGGGCCAGATGGGTCGAGACAGCTGGTCCCCAGATGTTGCAGATCTCATACATCAACGAGGTGAACCATTGGACCACCTCCCGCGAGCAGAAAAACAAACAAGCGTCGTTCCAGGAAGCGCGAATGGGCGAGAAGGTGATAAGAACTGTGGGTCGGGGAACATGTAAACAAATAAACAGATTGAATGCGCGGTTAAGGACACAGAGATGGCCCAAAGGCCAGACCATGCGGTCGTGCCTGGGCTGCGTTCATCAGGGCCTGTGTCCAATGCGTGTCATAGGCCACGAAGAGATTCAAAGTAGAGGCTGGGAGATCTGCAACGTGTGACAATAACAGCCGGCAGTCGCGTTGACAAACTCCAACAGCGAGCAACAGCATCCAACAAAATGCCGGATGAACAAACAAGCACCGACACTTTCGAACCTGCTCGTACACAGAGTGTACCAGAAAAACAACGAGCCTAACGACGCAACTCCTTGATGTCTCGGCCGACTTCCTCGAGTAGACGAAGGTACGTATCAACTCTCACAGTTTTCTAATGGTTGGTCTGAAAGAGGAGAGGATGTGATGGGCGTCACGTTGGGAAGCATCGTCTTCGTATTGAATCCTTTCAATTTGGTGCTTCTCCCAACACCATGCTGGTGCCGCGCTTCCGCACAAGAGCATCCAGGATGTGGCCAGGCCGCGCTTATTTGTAAACGCCTGTTGGTGTTGGTCCGCGCTATTGTCGTTCTGCAACCGTCTCCCCAATCATCGTGCGTGTGATGACGCAGCTAATACAGACGAGGTGGTGTGCATGCATCTTTGGAGGAAAACAATGATACCGAGACGATATCACCATCGTATCCAATCTGAGAACGATGCGCAGTTTGGAGGGAAGCCGGCATGGGTGGAGAAAAACGAGTAACGCGCTTGTTCCCTCCCACCCCCTTGTTTATGACTTGACTCGAACCTGCTTGGCTATTGCATGACAGACGGCGACACGCACGCCAGCCCCCGCCAGAACATGAATCCACATGCGCTGGGTGTCGCTGAGACGGTCATTGGCGCTCTTTACTTCAGAAAACAGGACCTCGGGCGTGGGCTCCATGCGCCAAAGCAACAGGTCCGGCAGACCGCCGCCTCGCTGGCGGTACTCTTGTGCGAGCACCTTGCACACGAGGGCGAGGGCGTCGCCGCGGAAGCCCTGGGTTAGCTCGACCACATCCTCGAGTGGGAAGTCCCACTTGAGTCCCACAATGCACGTACGGCGCTCAAAGTGTGCGGCATGCACCTCGCGCACAATGCGTGGCGCCTCGCCATTGGCAATCTCGACGAGCCGGCGGTTGATTTCCGAGGCCCGCGATGGGTAGAAAGTGTCGGTGTGGAGGTCGAGGGGGCACGCCTGGTACGGCGTCTGGAAGACATTGGGGATAAACAAGAACAAAATGTCGTAAAACAGGTACGCAAAGAGGGTTCGCACGATGCCCCCTTCAGAATGGTAGCCCTTCCAGCCTTGCTTGCGGTATTCATTGAGGCACATTTCTTCGACAGAGCATTCTGCAGCAGCGCCGTCACCCTTGGATTCGGCCTCTTGCTCGTCGACCCAGACAGTCTTTGTACTCATTCCACCACCAAACCCAACACTGCTGACGCTGACGGTGCCATCCGGGTTGCTGCCAGAGTTGGGTTTTCTTGTGAGGTGTGGTAGCACGCCTTCGTCTCGTTTGATTTGCACACCCTCCACAAAATGCTCTTCGGGCGCAAGAAGGCGTGCGTGGCCAAAGTCGTGCTGAAGCCGCCGAGGGATCCGGAGCCGTCTCTCCAGCTTGAGCGTCCGCTTCTGCAAATCAAAGTGGTAGATGAGGTGACAGTCACGGTCCTGCAGCGCTTGCTCGCATGTCTCGAGCGCTTTCCGCCACCAATACTTCTTTTGCTGATCTTCGTCGTTGTACTTGGGATTGGAAGCGGCCGTGGCCATGTAGCGTTCTTCCAACAGAGCCTTTCGTTGATACCACGAGCCTCGGCGTGCGAGATGAAGTAGCCGCTGGTCAAGAAGCTCTTGGATGAGTGCATACTCGTCCACATACTCATGCAGTCGACCAAAGCAATGGGCTGCGTAGTGGGCGATGCGCGTAAAAACGTGTGCGGCTTTGAAGCGCCGGAGGTAGCTCTCGTCGCCAGAGCCGCTAATGTCTGTTTCGTCTTGTCGACGTTTCTCGTCTTTGAGGAGGGCCCGCCAATGCTCGGCGATGCTGTGGAACAGAGACACAACGTCCCGAAAGCCGTCTTCTTTGCCGTCAGCGTTGAGAATGTGATCGACTCGGTACTCGAGCCGCAAAGCCTCCTCGAAATCGAGCA